TGAACACTGGCCACCCGTCTTCACATCCCCTCAGTGAAGCCTTCCCAGGTCGGCTGTGGAAGTTGGCTTCCCTTTGAAAGGAAGGGAGGGAATTTGATACACAATAAGGTAATAAGCCAGAACCACTGAGACCACCCATGTGAGTCAAATACTGGGCTGGACTTGAGCCCCATTAGTGGGCAAATTTCAGGGCACTGCTCTGTCTATGTGGGGTTGGATCTCTACTCGCTGCACATGATACATTATTCTTAAACATAGAAATAGGTGTTGAGGAGAGGTCTGTAGCTAAAGCTTTAGGAATATGCAGGTCTTTAAAATAATACTGCATTTCATTTTCCCTTGTCGACCTCTTCTAAAGTTGTTAGATAGCTGGGAACACCAGTGCACACCTGTAATCCCAGTGGCTTGGGAGGCTGAGGCAGGAGGACTGTGAGTTCAAAGCCAGCCTCCCCCAAAACGAGGCACTAAGCAACTCAGGGAGACCCTGTCTCTAAATAAAATACAAAATAGGGCTTGGATAGGGCTCAGTGGTCGAGTGCCCCTGAGTTCAATCCCTGGTACCAATCAATCAATAATTTGTTATATATTTAGTCCTTTAAGAAAATTTTTTTTCTAAACATCCCCCTCTGTCCAGCCCCTTACCACCTTTAGCTGTCCCTGAACAGGCTGCCCACTCTGACAGGAATGCTGTTCCAGGACTCACTCTTTTCCTACCTTGTCCCCAAAGGAGTTCAACTATGATCTTTGCCTTTGACACTGTAGAAGACAGGTGACATCTCATCTACTTAAAAACAGAATAAAACTAGTAGTTAAGTGAATCTTCCTTTATAATAATGACTTCTAAAAGAGGAAGATGTTGTCCCTATTGCTGGACATGATGTATGTAGCAGATAAAAGATGACCACAAAAGCCTTTGTTACTCCTCCCACTGAGAAGCGGGCCACTGTCCCTTCCCTTGACTGGGCTGGCATGTGACTGCTTTGGCCAAGAGAGTATGGCAGAATGACGCTGAACCTGTTCCAGGCTGGCCTGTGGAGAATGGGCAGCTTTGACTGGGCTCTGTTGGAAGGTCAGCCACCATATACTTTGCTGGGAGGACCACCTGGAAGGGCCCTGAGTTGACATGGACAGGAAGAAAGGGCCTGGTGGTGCCCAGCCTTCCACTGACCCTACCAAGCTACTAGGAACACGAGGGAAGCTGTATTGGACTTTAAAACCATCTCAGCCACAGGGAAATGCACTAAGAGACCCTACTCATTGCCACGTGGAGAAGACTCCCAGTCAAACCCTTCCTGAATCCCTGGCCCATGAACTTGTGAGACATGACATTATAGTTGTCTTAAGCCACTGGATTTGGGGGGCAGCTTGTTATGCAGCATTACTAACTGGATGATATAAATGCAGTGGCCCCACCACTGACCATGCTGTCCTGCTGGATTGAGCACCTTTGGAGGCTCTGTCTTTGTTTCTGTCTTTCCAGAGAGACCCCTGCTATCCTGCACTCTTCTCTGACTCTAGCCTGAGCTGTCTGGGTTTGTGAGAGATAGGCAACCCAAGCTGGGTGACCCAGGCAGATTCTGTCAACTCCTACCTCTAGCCACAGTTGGCAGAGGTGGACAGTGACTTAACCAGGACCAGAGAGATCCTCTCTCCTGGACATGTGGACCCAGGAATCAGAAACGGCTGACCCTTTTGTGTCTCAGATTAGGAGTTGCTGAGATGTAAATGAGGAGGGCTGGAGGTAATCATTTTCTAGTGTGTGTAGGGAAATGAATGCCGAGAGAGCCAGTGTGCTCTGGGGGGAGCATGATACGGTGTGCGAGTAGAGGGGAGGAGCTGGCAGAGAGAGGCAAGCAAGGGACGCAGGCAGCTGGCTACGGGTTTGGATGTACACATTTCCTTGGGATCTGTAGGGCTGCCCCTGCACCCTTAGAATCCTCTTTCTTTCTCTTGCTTGAGCAGTTGAAAGGGTCTCAGTTTTTTTTTTTTTTTTTTGCAACTGGAAAAAATGGCCTCTGTGATGTCTGAGGTAAGTAAGAATGCTCAGCCCTGGAAACAGAAGAGAAGGCTGTCCAGGCCAGTGAGGTGACAGCAGTGTCCTTCTGTTGGCCTTCCCTCTACAGAGCAGGGGTGGTGGTGACTGGGTGCAAGTCAAGCCCTGGTGTCCTGCAGCTGCCGCACAATAGGAAAGCACAACAATACACTTATCCTCTTCCCAAAGGCCTTCCAGTCGTACCTCTGTCCTCTACGATGGCTGTCCACTGTCTGAACTAGAAACACAGACAGCTGCTACCTCTCAAGTTCAAATAGTCACCAGACCTAGGACCACAAGGCCCCAGCTCTCATCCACTGCACTGTTCCAAAATGCTCCCTCGTTGTCGAGATAGGGACTTGCAGCACCTCCTCTATTTCCAGAGCAGTCACTACGCAGCACTTGCCACTCTCTCCACTGTGTTCACTAGTCTACCTGGGGAGGGTTCAAGGGCGGGGCAGGGGCATAGTCACCGGTGCACCCCCAATGCCTTGTCCAGTGTTTGGGTCAGAGCCAGAGTTCAAAGAGCATGGACTGAAATGAAACACTGCTCTCTGATGACTTGCAGAGCTATTTGACCCATGCGGCCTCATGAGACAGCTTCCTCAAAGCTTTCCTTCCACCCTTGAGCTATGGCAAGGTCTTGTTAGGGTTAAGGCACATACGGTGACCTCCGATTGCAGTGACCCTGCTCTTTCTCCAAGACTGCCTCAGTAGGTGACATCTGGCTTCTCAGATCCTCCCTTTTTGGATTTCACTTAGCTGAGGGAACTCAGGGTTCTGGTCACACTATGCCAGAGATCTCCTGCAATTACCCTTTCTTAAGCAAATGTGACAAGAGCAAAGCAAAGCAGATGGCAGGTGGGACCAGGCAGGATAGCACCCACAGGAGATGGGACACCCCTGAGTGAAAGGGGCGTGCACTCCACAAAAAAGAAGTGGGACATGGCCATGATGTTTCCTGCTCTGTGTCCCGGTCTGGTCCCCTACACTCAGCCATGGAGAAGAAAAGCACTTCCTCTCATTTCAAGAACCCATAGAAAGACAGAAGGAAGTCTCCTTCTCTGTCTCTGTCTCTCTCTCACCGTCCAGCTGGAAGCCTGTCTCTGTGGATTCCAAACACTGAGCAGGCTTTGTTCTCTACCGCAGACCAGAGGCCCTCCCGGCGGGAAGGAGTTGGAGTTGAGAAAAGGGAGAATTCAGAATCCATGTGGCAATGCAGATTAAATAAACAACCAATTAGTGGATTAAAACAAAAAGGTAATAATATTCACTGTTGGCAAGTAGGCAGGAAAATGGATGCTTCAGACACTCGGCTCGTGGGAGGGAGTCTGTATAACCTTTCCAGAGGGCAATTGGCAACATAAGATAAAAGGCACAGTCATTCCATTTCTAGGGTTTCGTTCTAAGGATATAACAAAGTATTTGTGCAAATATTTGGCTCCAGAGTTATTCACTTTTGAAGGAAGTGTGCAACCAGGAGCAACCTAAATTCCAGCCCCAAGGGACCAGATGAATAAACAGCAGACTCTCTGTAGCTTTAAGATGTGGCTGGAAGTGGGCTCTTCACGGTATGGAAAGACAGTCACAGTATTATCTTCAGGGGATAATAGCTTGCAAAATAGTACACAGGGTGCCTAAAAAGCATGGAAAATGCATTTTCAAATAATACGCTTAAAATTTCTTCCACACCAAGACACCTTTTCAGGTGAAGTAACCTTACGTTTAAAGCAATGGTCTGATTGCTAATTTGAGATAAGTACAGTACATGCATTATCTTTTCCCTGTATTTCTAGACATTTTGGTTACGCTTCTGAAATATATTTATTATGCTGGGAAAATCTAACTAACACATTATTCAGAACTAAGTTGATCCTATGAGAACCCCTGGTTCATGTCCGTATATGCAGAGGAAAAGGTCAAGAGAGACAATGCTACACTCATTGTGGTTATTTCTGGGATGTGGACATGTAGGAATTTTATATTTTTTCCCTTAATGATATGTTATTATGTTTGATCAGTACATATTATTATCTTGTAATCCCAAAGAAATTAATATTTTGAATTTAATGTATTCATCTATAAAAATCTAGGATAACCTCCATCTGAGACCTAGACACTGGAGAAGCATGGGGGCTTTGGTGTCACGAACTCCCAGTGATGGTCCCTGGTGCTGTTTTGGATCTGGGGACACAGTGGATATAAGGATAGACAGGCCCATCACTGCCCAGTGGAGGGGACAGACTTTCATCAGATGACAACTCTGATACCATTGTTGATAAAGATGGAGACTCTGACATAAAAAGACTCCAGATTTCAGAGAGTGAAGCAAAGAAATCACCCTAGGCTTGGGGGTGAGGATACCCCTTTCAACTTGAGAGAATGATGCTTGACATGAATGATGAGTAGGTGTGCCCTGGTGACAGGGACAGGGCGATTCTATACCGTGGCTCAACTCCAAATGGACCACTACAGGGTTGGGGGAACAGAGCTCTAGACCTGTGGCCATCTCAGTTACTGAGTCTTCTGGGCAGAAATCTTTCTCATATTCCATGGGGGAGGAGGAGGTGGGAAGAAAAAATAAATAGCTCTGTAGTTTCCTTTTTTATTTTTTCTTCAAGCAAATGGTAAACCACCCTTCTCCCAGCTGGTACCTCCCAAGGTTGTTCTGGAGTTGGGTTCCCAACATCCCACATCAGGACTGGTGTAACTCTCTTAGAAAAAGAGGAGAAGAAACTGAGACGTTTGTTCTCTCTCTAAAGTGGTTCAAATCCTCAGTTATGCATGGCCTCAAGAGCAGCAAGACTCCATTCCCTGCCTGAAGAGGACACTGACATCCCCTGTACCTTGTACCACAAAGGGAGTTCCTATAGGAAACCTCTTCCAAGGCGCACCCACCCTGGAGAGGCAGGAGAGCTGGGTGTCTACCGATGGCGACTCCATGGAGACCTGTGATCTCCAGACTCACCTTCCAGAGCAGCACAGCCAGCAGCAGGAAGATGAGGATCCCCACCAGCAAACTTATGGCAATGATCCACCCCACGACGTAGCCACGGGGCTCCAGATTGTGCAAGGCTTCAAAGACCACCTAGGAGGAAAGCAAAAATAAAAACATAAAAACAAGTCCCAGGTCTTGAAGGCACTGTAATGACAACCACCTTGATTTAAGTATCATGGAGTGAATACAAGTGTACTGAAAAACTTAAAAACACATGCTACTTTTTTTTTTTTTTTGGTATTGGGGATTGAACTCAGGGGCACTCGACCACTGAGCCACATCCCCAGCCCTATTTGTTGCATTTCATTTAGAGACAGGGTCTCACTGAGTTGCTTAGCACCTCAATTTTGCTGAGGCTGGCTTTGAACTCATGATCCTCCTGCCTCAGCTTCCCGAGCTGCTGGGATTACAGGCGTGCACTACCGCACCAACTACACACTACATTCTCAATTGAGAACAGACGACAACGGTCTACCTTGCATTTTGGTTTTGAAACAAAGAATGTAGGGTGCACTCCATGCAAGATAATATTTATTTTGGGGTGTGCAGCTCAATGTGTAGTTTAGTGGAATTATCTGACTCATGCCATTTTATCCAATAGATTTTGGACCCTTCCAGGGTCTGAAGACATTCTGTCTTGCATCTCATGTTTGTGCCTAACAAACGGAAGGAACTCACTCAGGAAGCCGTGCTGTCTGTGGTTTCTAGTGTGAGCCATATACCAGTGGAGCACGTGTCTCAATGAGGCAAGTATTTCCAACTTTTATGGAAATTCAGTGGCTCACATCAAGTCATGAGAGCCAAGTGTGTGTCTCTTCCCTATTCCATATTGGGAATATTTACGCCATGGAAATTGGCAAACCAATCAGGGTTTCCCTACCCTCCTGCCAGAGAACCAGTTGCTAAGCATACATCAACTCACCTCTGACAGCATCCTTCAGCTTGTTTTAGCTCCACTGGCCACAGAGGAGTGTGGTTTGCAGAATTCAAAGCATCTATTGTGCCCTCTGCTGCTAAATAATCCTTTCCAGCTTTAACATAGGGTCTCGTTCAAGCTCCTTACTGCTGAGGAGATGAAAATCCTAGGCCTGGGCAGTCATCTCTCTTGGCTCCGAACTGGCTGGCCTGACCGCAGGCCTCTGCCCAAGGAGTGGCTGTCCTTGGAGCTCCCATCCCTTCCTTGGTAAGGTCTATCTCAGCCTTGCTTGATCCTCAAGGCCAACTGACCTTCTGCCTCTGCCAGGAAGCTCCACTGCTCTCAGGAGACTGGTGGTCCAGTCCCACTCTCAAGTTCAAGCAGTGATATTGCCCTGCTACTGCTGCCCAGGACTGCTCATTTTACCTTTTTAAGGTTTGGCTTCCACTCTTTCTAGCATTTGCCAAATGTTCCTCTATGCCAGGCTCTGTGCTTCTCTTGTGATCTCTTGTCTAATTCACACGATCACCCCATGATGGGTTTTTTTTTTTTTTTGGTACCAGGGATTGAACTCAGGGGCACTTGACCACTGAGCCACATCCCCAGCCCTATTTGTATTTTACTTAGAGATAGGGTCTCACTGAGTTGCTTAGCGCCTTGCTTTTGCTCAGGCTGGTTTTGAACTCATAATCCTCTGGTCTCACTCTCCTGAGCTGCTGGGATTACAGGCATGTGCCACCATGCCTGGCCCTCCATGAGGTCTTCAACATCTATTTTATAGAGAGGGACATGGACATCGGGGGACATGGCTGTAGGCTATGTAGCTTAAGTACAGAGTCAGAATTTGAACCCAGGTTTTGCCAACATAAAACCCTTAAATCTGAAATTGTAACCAACACCACAGAGTACCTGGCTGATGGTGGCCCTTTTTGTCAATTAAATGGATTATTTACTGGTTCTTCCCTGGTGGCAAGGCAAGAAAATACAGACATCTCCATCTCTCTCTTTGCTTCCCTTCCTACAGCTGGGGTAGCAGGGAGTTTGTATGTGCTGAGGATTAGTGGGGGCAGTCATCCATAAGATAGATAGGCTGCCAGTTTCACCTGTGGATCCTGAATCCAGAATATTATCTTAAGGAAAATGAGGCAGAGCATAAACCACACCTTGCTTCATGGAGAAAAATGAGAGAAAACTGCCTATAAAACATAGCAGGCCTTTCTGAGAACAGACATGGGGACTCTTTATAGAACTTACTATCTGGGTGATCTTGGGTAAAGTACTTAATCTCCCTGAGCCTCAGTTCTCTCAACTGTGCAACAGGAACACAATAGCACCTCCCCAGTGGATTAAAAGGAATGATGTGTACAGGCCCCAACAGCACTTGGCACAGAGACCATGCTGACGAGTGAGATGTGCTCCTGTTAGCATCATTATCATTGCTTTTGAGGTTATGCATGCCTTGTTATATTTAATTCTTAAAAATTATTGAAGTCTACCTAGAGAAAAACCTACAATTTACTGTGGGGTTCGGATAAGCAATTCCTGTCTTTAAAGGTTCATGTCGTGGGGTTCTTGCTGTGGATCAAATCGCCCCTCCCACACTCAGGATCCTGTCTTTTCCAGATGAGTCTGGAAGCACTACAACCAAGAGAGAAGATGTGGAGGGAGGAGGGCCCGCCTGGACCCTGTCCTGGTGTGACGGAGGGCAACTGGGACACTACTCTGTTTCTTTCCTTGTGAAAGGGGGGTCTGGAGGGGAAAATACCATAGTTCTACTAGAGTGCCTGGAGCCTGGTGGTGAACGTAAGCCTGATAAGCCTTCCCATCGACAGTGCAGAGCTGGGCCAGGCTGCTGCTTGGGCGGGGGAGGGGTGAATTGTAAAGCACGGCCACCATGTTAACCCAGATGGCTCAGGGACACTGAAATCCCCGCCCTGGCAAACCCGTGTTGGAGGTCTGGCTTTGTGGATACAGAGACAGAGTAGCTGCTACAGTTTAGTCTGGCCAATTCCACCAGCATGCCCTGTCACTTCCCTGGAATGCGCCTCATCTTTTTGATTATTTTTCAGTGATGACCCCGGTCCTCTTGGACGTGTGCTGTATGCTTTGGCAAAGCCCAGACTCTCACAACACGACTCTGGCGAGCTCGTCTGCGGGTGATGATCTGAGTGTCTTGCAGTTCTAAGAAGTCACATCTTACATTGAAACCAAACCAAACCAACAAAACATAGAAGGGTCAGCAGCAGGGACCCCCCCCCCCCCCCAGGTCCTGACTCCACCACTCGGGAGAAGTGATCCTGGCCAAGACTCTGGGCCTCTCCTCCGCTCTCCATCCTCTGGTTTCCACCCCCAGTTACTACCCCAGTTCAGGCCTGGTCCTTAGCTCACCAGCGCTATCTTAGGAGCCTTGGAGAGCCCTACCTGCCATGAGAATTGTCTTTCTAAAGCACAGGTCTCACCAGCTCACTTCTCTCAGCTCACACTATTGATGGCTTCCCTTTTTACTGAGCATCTAATTCAGGACACAAGGCCCTATGACCTGGTCTTCTTCCTTCCTTGACGGCCCCTCCCAGGACATGAATTCATATTCCAGCCATCTTCCTGTGAGGCCAGTGGTCCCTTGCCTCTCTGAAGGCTGCTTTCCATCTGGAAAGTCCTTCCATCCTGATCCCTTTGACAGGCTCCATTATAGCTCATCTTTAAAATGTTCATACCTTTCTTTGTTTGGTACCAGGGATTAAACCCAGACCTGCTTACCCACTGAGCCACATCCCCAGCCTTTTTTTTTTTTTTTAAATATAGGCTCTCGCTAAGTTGCTGAGGCTGGCTTTGAACTTGTGATCTCTCTGCCTCAGCCTTCCGAGCCTCTGGGATTATAGGTGGGCATCAGCAAGCCTGGCAATGTTCATATTTTTTGATTCACTAATTCTGTACTTGAAAACATTCCCCAAGGCAAGAAATATGAACTACAGGAATATAAAACTGCAGAAAAATTTTAATGCTCAATCCAGAATTATCCATACTGATGCAGAATCAGAAATATTCAAAAATAATAGGGCAATAGATGAGTAAATTTATGATCAATCAAAATGGAATATCATAGAATGAATAGAAATGATGACAAAAAACTGGCAAAGCACATTTTTAACAAGTTAAAAACATGACAAATATACAGTGAATGCATGCTAATGATTTATATAATTCATTATGGAGGCAGTAAAATGGTGAAACTAGGTCAAAGAGAGATCTGAAAAAAAATGTATAGTCATAGAAAAAAAGAGAGTTCTGAAATCAGATACAAAACTGTTCAATACCCTACAGGGTGATAAACTATAATCTATGGTATTATGTTTTTGGTCGGACAGAAATTACTTTTATTTTTATTGGCAAGAGTCATTTATAACCTATTAGTATTCTACAGATTAATGTGTAACATCACAGAATCTGAGCCCTAGAGAACTGGGCAAGCTTGCTAGACCAGTGCTTCTCAAAGTTTACTGTTTACGAATAGCATGAGGTAGCTTGTTAAAATGTAGATTCTGGGATGGGCACGGTGGTGCAAACATGTAATCCCAGTGGCTTGGGAGGCTGACGCAGGAGGATTCCAAGTTCAAAGCCAGCTTCAGCAACTTTAGTGAGGCCCTGTGCAACTCAGAGAGACCCTGTCTCAAAATAAAATATAAAAAAGAGCTAGGGATGTGGCTCAGTAGTTAAGTGCCCCTGGGTTCAATCCCTGGTACCAAAAAGAAAAAAAAATGGTAGTTCTGAGTTGGATGAGGCTTGAGAGTCTACATTTCAAAGAAGTTGCCCATGATATGGATACTATTGGCCCATGGTCCATGCTTTGAGCAGAAAGGGGACAAGAGAATGCTCCAGTATGTCCATGTAATCATTGTTTTGCTTGATTTCCAAATTTTAGTTACTTTTGAAACCATGGAAATAAAGTGGGAAAAATGATTAGTGTTGTGACAATAAGAATTAGAAATACAATTTAATATATAAAAAGAGTTTTAAGAAAATGGAATGAAATTTAAAAACTAAACAGGCATGTTTTGAGATTGTAGGTAGTTTTTCTCATAATTTGTATTATTTAACATTTTTTTGAACTCAGAATTTTAAAGTCAAGGCAAAAAAATTTTTCCTTTGAGAGACTCTTCTCTGAGGCAGTGATGCC